GGCTCTTTATCTTATGTTTATTAAATATGTTTTACAATTTATCTGCTGTTTGAGAGTGAATAGTCCAACCATTCAAAATACTACTTTAGCCAGTGTACTGAATTCGGCAGAATCTAGTATACACCTTTAGTCATGAGAGTAAATAGAGCTGTCCCTCTTCCTCCCACATACGGTCAGAGCAGCCTCCCTCTCAGCCTTTTACACAAACCATTATCACTAAACACAGAATTACAGACAATACCCATTGTCTCCTTGGCTGCGATAAACTCACTTTCAGCCCCAGGCTATGGAGTGGGAAGAGATATTAATACTCCAGTGACATCCTATGGATGTGAATGTCACCGGTGAGTAACGGAGTGCTCAGAAAGCAACTGGGGGCCAGTATGTGTTTCTCCCTCCCCCAACTGGCACTAGGGTTTCAATATGACACCTGGCCTTTGGTCAACACAGGGGGATACCGCTAAATCAGACTGACAACTAATCCGCAGAGTGCAGCTCACTTACACGAACCATGCAAAATTCTAAGAAGCAAGCCAACTATTTGTAAATAAGATAACATAATGTGCATGGGTATTGCACAACGCTTTTCACACCTGCTTTTCCCTGACGCGCTAGGTGGAAGAACACCACAAAACAGTGCAAGAATTAGAATTATCATTTAAAATGATTCGTTTTAATCGGTTTTTTCCTTCTTTTGCTTGCATTGTTAATGTAGTGTAGAGACAAAGGTTGTAACCATGAGGTACCTTCTCCTCTATGATTTACAATATAAGTGTTTTTTCAAAATGTCAATTTAATCACCGGCATTTACCGATTTCTCATATACAGTATTAATACTAACAAATATCAAGACACCAATACATTAGAAATCTTTACCTGTGTGCCAAACATACTGCACCCACACATAGGTACTGGCAGCGAAGAATAGCCATTGCACTGGGATGAAGAGGAGGCAAATGATGTCCGAGGTAAACGCAACACACACAAAGAATACTGAGAAGGCCTGTCGGGGAGAGGAGAGGCTGTTATGATCAACCAGCATATGCAGTAAAGACAGATCTAGGTTGTTTGTGCTTGTTAGTATTTCATGCTCGAAACTTCAAACAATTTCCTTAAAAAAGAAAATGCATTTCAGGCTTACAACCAGCCGTATGCTGTTGGACACCAGTTAATAGAAGGGTTGGTTGCCATATCTTAATTCTTTCTAATGAAAGAAATTTGTTACTGGGCAATTTAAATTAATATTTCATTGCTGAAAAATGATACCATGAATGCTTACACTTTTGTTCTCTCTTTCTGCATTTGTGAGACACAGACACACCAACAAAAACACACCTACACGTTGCATTTCAATGAGAACAACTATGGACCCAAGGCAAAATAAACTACAATAGAATTAACATTAGCATTCAAAATTTAGATAAGAGGAAGACAAACCGGATCTGTAGTTTGTACATTATATCAGATTATAGTTCTGATCCTAAGAGGCAGCCCACAAGGTTTCACAAAGTGAGAACAGCTTGTTGCTTTTTGTTTTGGCCCAACTTTCATAATCTGATCATCTGATAATCACTGTACACTTGCAGCAGCACTCTCTACCTCTGATATGTACAGCTGCTCCTTCCTGTTTAATTGGCCCTGGTTGCCTCACATGTCCTCAAAAGGTTTCTACTCCTTTTGTTTAGGGTTTGACTGAAGCGATATCATCTGATCCTTAACTCCCCACTATCACTGCTCTTGCCAACTGATTAAGTCACAGAATATGCTTACACGCACACAAGAAGTCTGATTGAGAGAAATAAAGTAAACCAAAAAAATCTCATCTTCTAATCGAAGCTGACACAACTGTTGTTATGTTTAGGTTGAAGCATTTGGACTGACTGAAGCTCTGTAGTGTGTAGTGCTGCCGCTGTATGTGATGCTTTCTTTCATTACTTCTTCTTCGTCATGCACTTCTCTCTTGTGTGAACTCTGTTAGAAGCCCAGTTGAACATAGTCATATTTCATTAAGAGAAATCTGTCTTGGCTTATCTAGTTAGAGTTAAGATTCAAGAAATCAAGTTACTGCAGAAAGACAACAATAACCTGGTTACTTGTGGAGACTGTGACAGCACTGTGGTACTGAAGGCCTTCAAAACTCAACATCTCAATTGGAAAATCAGAACAGGGTGATAATCTTAGTCCATAATTATGTCTGCTTACACCTAAAAGTTGAGTGTTGAACAAAAGGTTGAGAAGACAGCTATGTCTAAGACCTTGCCCTTTTCTCCAGCTTTATGAAAGCATAATAATATGAGGACATAGCCACTCACCAGCCCCTGGTATCTAAAAGAGTCGTACACACTCCGGATGAAGAGCCAGAATGGCCAGAGGTATTCAAACCTGAACTCCAGTACAAAGTCTGCCAGCAGCACCAGTGCCCACACCACCAGGAACTTCAGGTACAGGAAGGTACTAAAAAAAAAAATCAGAAGAAAAACTGGATGACACAAGATGTTTTGAAACACAAATAAACAAGAACGTCACAGGTTATTATTGTCAGGTTACTCATCTTCACCCGTAAGAGTCAATATATGGCAGGTCAACATTAAGTCAATAAATCAAAGAGATTCAGGTTTGTTGTGATGTTTATGTGTGTGTGTGTGGAGAATGAGTTTAAGATGTGCATATGGAGCCCATTGCTGCTGTACGACAGATTAAATGCCTGTATGCATTGCTCTTATTCTAAGTGGCTTATGTTATAAAATGCAACTGGGCGTATATACAGAACAAGTACACAGATATGTACTAAATGTCTGCATTTTGATGCGTTATGTGCTCCTGCTTTGAACATTTGGACGACAGTGTGATAAATATTCTGCTGTGGAGGTAACACGTACACATATAATGTGTTGCTGGTTCTTACCTAGTGACACAGTTCATGTCAATTTAATAAGCTAGATATATCTGATCGCAGCTGACACTCTTTGTTGAGCACTGAGACCCAGAAAGTGACACAGCAGGGTGCTCTCTGATGTTTTATCTAGGGGGCACCTGTTCAATGATTCAGGAGCTGCCCCACATCTCTAGATGCCACGTGTGTAACTAGTGGCCTTTAGCGTTTGGTTTATTTGACACTTAGGAAGTCACACAGAGGTGGCACCTGCCAGCTCTGACTGCGAGGGACAACTGAGTAACTTTAAGTTATCCAAACTGAACAGTGCAACACACGCTCTTGTGAAGTCTGACTGACTGACTGCAGTCTCAGCAACTGGTGTTTCCAGTGACCGTTAACACACTGTATTAGTGGATAAGACAGGCGCATGTGGAGAAGTTGACAATGAGCAGACAAAGCTAACTAACACAAGTTTCCTCAGCTAACAGTGAAGCGGCTACTTGTGACACGGCTGGCAGATGACACCTGACGTGGGCTAACGGGAGCTAGTCAGGGTCGTTTCATTAGTATCCACACATCCACCACAACTCATTTCAAACAGCAGCGTTGCGGTGAAAGAGACCTTGTGACTCGGTTCAACCCGGGCTGTCTCTCGGCCTAGCGCCACAGCTAGCTCAACGGCTAACGGTAGTTGCTAACGTTACAACGGACACACACACACACACACACTGCGCTACCGCTAGCTGCGTAAGCTAGCTGGCGGTGGCAGTTCATTGACATCAATGGTGACTGTGGGGAAGTTTTACGTGCTGCAGCTATCAAGCCGCAAGCATCTCCATTCAGTGTCCTCCATTGCTGAGGTGAGGAGGAGCCCTCCGCCAGTTACCTGCCGTATATACCCTCAGTGATTCGGTTCCGTTTTAACGGCCGTCGGAGTTTGCTGCAGTCCGCATTGCGCCGCTTCATCCTCCTCCCCTTGGCTTTGGCCTTCGAGTAACGACTGTAATCTTATCCAGTTTTCTTGTGTATACGGACAACGATAATAAATGAAGTGCCTGTGGTATATGTCGCTGTTATTATTTTTTCCCCACTGGAAACAAAGAAATAAATAAAGGACTCTATTCGGGAACCTCCTCTTTTTCTGTTAGCGCAGACTCAATAAGTCCCAGCCGCGCTGTGGCTTACGTCCACTTGTCAGACGGCCGCTATATCCAATCAGTCTCTCTGCAGAGGCTTCTCTCGTTGACGGATTCAGACATGAGCCATTAATGTTGCACAGCGGCCTGTCGCTCAGCTCTCCTCCACCACAGACAACAGGCAGCAGCGAGGGGGCGAGGGCCGCTGTGTGCGGACCGTCTCCCCGTTGAACCAATCAGATTTCTGTGGACAAATTGGGCATCGCTGATTGACCAATGAGCTGATCGCGGAGGCGGGCTTTGTTCTCAGAGTTTTTCCCCCTTTTGGTTTATTATGAGCAGAAAATATGCAGTCTTTGGGACAAAATTCCCTTTGTGCCAGATACAAAACATCCATTCCAACATACGGGGGTTATTTATACCAGGGCCTTTGTGTGTGCTTCATGGACTATCAATGGACAGACTTGCCCCCAGGCTTTGTAAGCCATCTATGTTTTGTTGCCAGGTTAAAATGTGTACGCGCGCGTGTGCGTGTGTTTGACTAGAAAAGTGTGGGTTGCACTTATCATCGGTTATCATATGACTAACTTTACCCATGGGTTTTTATTTCTCTTCAGCACCATAACAACGTGGTGTGATACAATAAAATAAATAGCGTAATGATTGTAACAGTGTAGATAAATATAAATATGGTAACATAAAGGCTAATAATGCTGCATTTTGTTCAGTCCCTCTTCTTGGAGAGAGGCCTGCACTGTTATTTTCTTGATCTAAGTCCTTTTGTAAAATTGTATTAAAGGGAGTTGTTGCAATGTGGTTGAAAAGAATAAAGCATCAAAGTCAGACTTCACTCAGGACTAGTCTGTCTGTCTGTCTTCATGTCCAGCAGCTGATAAAAACTGAAATATGTGCTTGGGGTTGTGCCCGATTCAAAGCGCCAGTGCTACACATGCGTCAGTTGGAAGAGAAGTGCGCGGACAACATTTGCAATGGCTCCTCGGTACGCACCAAGTCTGCGCTCCCGTCTGGCACCTCTGCTGCTCTTTCTGCAGATAGGGTTCATTGTCATATATGCCTTCTACACTGAGATCGACAGCAATGTAAAAGCAGATGGGACTACCTTCAGCAGCTTTTACTCAGGTAAGCAGTGAGGTTGGAAGGGGAGGAAGGTGTGAGATAATGAGGGTTGAAAGTTAGACATTTGAAGTTTTATTTGAGTAATATTATTAATTAAAAATGCATTTTAATGCATATTCTAATTCATAAACTTTCCTTAAAGAGCTCAATAAATGTATAAAGTAGAGTCCAGGATTGAGGGGAGGGGCTGCAGTTATTACTGTTGGGTATTGATAAGCTCATACAGTTGCTGGTTGTTGAGGAGCAGATGGCCTGGTTGTCTCATGAAAACTGGGCTATCAGCTGAAACCCAGCAGAAATGACTGTATTGTGATTCAGATATCTGACAGTTTTTAAAGTCTACTACGTCTTTTCTCTTGCAGAGTTCCAGGATGTGAATGTGATGGTGATTCTAGGTTTTGGCTTCTTGTGCACTTTTCTAGTGCGGTATGGTTTCAGTGGCTCTGGGTTCAACCTCCTTGTGGCTGTCATTGCCACCCAATGGGCTCTTATACTCAATGGAACTGAGTCCTGGTATTACAGAGGAAAGATCCGGATACATTTGAGAAGGTGGGTCATTAGCTGAGGCAGTTATTTTGTCACATTTTAAATTTGATGACACACAAAAATGATCACTACTGAATAATTTTGTCCTTACAAAGTTTTTACAGCCGATAGCAAAAGAAAAAGCCACTTAATTGAACAGAGATGTATTTAACAGCATCAACAAACTTGATTGCACAGTTCTAATTTATACGTCAATGGTTATACTATTTTATTATAGCATAGTAGTTGCTGAGATGTGTGCTGCCTCTGCCCTCATTTCAATTGGGACCATGGTGGGGAAGACCAACCCTGTTCAGCTCATCCTCATCGCCCTGCTGGAGGTGTCAGGGTTCGTCCTGAATGAATGGCTCCTCCAGACCCTGCTGAAGGTAAGAAACTTTTAATCCTGTGTTCAGTTCTTCAGGCCAAGCATCTTTACGTCCTACAGCAGTACATGCTATGCACTTGTTGGAAGTTTGGTTATAACGGTGTTTTCTAACTCTAGGTCCGGCCTCTCAGCAGCATCATGCTGCTTCACATCTTTGGGGCCTTCTCTGGACTCATGCTGACCTGGATCCTGTATCGGGAGAGATCCATGCAGCGTTTTGAAAAAGAGAAATATGACCGCAAAACAGCATTATTCTCCATGTTAGGTATGTAAGTAGTAGGCTATGTTTTCCTGATGTTGCTACTAGATATGTAGCAAGTGGATAGCTATCCTTCAACTGGAGATTTAAGTTCAAACCCTGCCGTAGCATAGCAGAATCTGAATAGAAATCCCTCTGTTCTCTGTTCTCTAGGCACCGTGTTTCTCTGGATGTTTTGGCCTAGTTTTAATTCGGTCCTTCTGGACAATCGTATTCCTGGGAGGAGGCTAGGGGCTGTGTGCAGCACCTACCTGGCCCTGGCTGTCAGTGCTGTAACTGCAGCTGCTGTGTCTGTGCTCTCGAACCCCAAGGGAAAACTCAACCTGGTATGATCTGACACTTGATATGTTAACTCAAAATGATGCTCTTTCATGAAGTCACTATTGGCTTCAGTGAATAGACTGTACCACAGGGGCTACTCAAAACAATCCAATCGATCAGAGATCTGATTTATAATAAGGTTTACTCACTCCTCTGTCAGATCCAAATGCAGTCCTGCATCCTTGCTGGCGGTGTTGCTGTTGGGGTTTCTATGGCAGGCATTCATCAGCCATGGGAAGCCATGACAATCGGATTCGCTGCTGCTGTTGTATCAACAATTGGATTCCGATACCTCAAGGTTTTGATCAACACACAGACACCTACACCTTGATTAAATAATCTGTACATCACAACTCATCATAAGCTCTTATTTTCCAGATCCACATGCTGCTTGCATTTCAGTGCCACGACACCTGTGCTGTCCTGAGCACACATGGACTCCCTGGTCTACTGGGATGGGTAGCACAACTCGTCCTACAGATCAAAGACTGTGATGATCACACAACGTAAGAATGCAAGTGTCATATGATACACATACACAGAAGGTGTGACATCCTGTGTAACTGGTCCTTATTTTGCAGGGCAATCCGGTTTGCTGTATTTCATATTTCTACTCTCCTCATCACCATCAGTGTAAGTCTGTCTACAGGAATCATTACAGGTAAGTCTTCTCTCTAGTAGGATTTCTATTATCAACAGCCCAGCACAATCATACAAGACAGAAGACCTTCTGTCAGGCATTTTGAATCAGCATGTAGCAGCAGAATGCCCTCAACAGTGAAATTTGACATATTATTGGCATATGTAAAGTCTTTTTTTTTTTTAAAAGTGTGTGACCATATCAGAGCCATATTATACCGTATGTTGCCATTTGTACACTTTCCTAATGGCTTTATATGTCATTGTTTAAAGGGTTCCTACTCAAGTGGAACTTCTGGAGACCACCCCAAGACAAGAAATGTTTTGATGATCAGGCTTTCTGGGAGGTAGGCAATCAAGTCTTAATCTTCTTACCAGCAAACACAATATCTAGCCGAGGAGAATTATGTCTGCACTTAAAGGATGTTTCCATAGTGATGCTAGACAATAATGCACTTGATATTATTTTGTTGTGCCGAACAAGGTAAATTCATAAAACATATTTTCATGTTTTGCAGTTTCCCCATCTTGCAGTTCGCAAGTAAGGATATGGAGACAGAAGCCGACCAAGTCTGACCCTACAAGTAAAAACTACTTTTGGTGTATATTCATGTCAATGTATAGAATTTCATAATTATTTTTTACTGCTGTGCAAAGTAGTTGTTTTTATGTGTGCAAGATAAATAAAACGCAAGAATGTAAGACTCATTTACTGCTCAGTATGTTTCTGTTTAATGCTACCATGGTTGTCAGAAACTGACCTCATGGATGTTACACAAGCAAATGGGTAAGTGTTGCAGTCAAATACAAATCTCCATGACACACACACACACACACACACACAACACCCTATAGCTGAGAACCCTTTGCTGACTTCTGGTCAGCAGTGTGAGGGAATTAACCATCAACCATAAATCTGGATGAGTTTCAGAGTTGACATTGTTATTTCAGGAAAAATACAAACAACCCCATATGGTTACATTCAGTAAATGGATACAGTATTAAGAAATATTGCCCTCAATGATAATTTGTACCATAATAATTTATGTTATTTCCATCGAACAGACAAAAGAACTTTAAGGATGTCGTAGAAGTAAGTATACCCAAAGGAAATGTGGACAGTTAGGGGATGTAAAGCTCCCAAAATACACATTTTTTTATACACAAGTTGTAAACCATTTTAACAACATGGTTACACAGTGCAAATAGACACACTTAAAGATGTGCCACACTTGAAAATATTCAACTTTCAAGGAATCTCTGAAAATTTGTGCTTAGTTATGATTTAGCCATTATACAGCAAACTATATAAATTAAACATGTTAATTTGAAAGCTAAAAAAGTTTTATATAAAGTGAATAACCACTAAAGCGAATTGTTTCATACAATGTAGAAAGCAGAGTGTATAAACAGTGGTCCCACAAGAGTCCGTTACTGCCACAGATCCTCCGTACGTCCAAACTTGAAGACCAAACCCCTAATCAGGAGAGAGGAAGATAGTGTAAGACAAATATGCCCACAAAATACCGGTGCTGAAGTGTAAACATGGGTTTGAAGATGCCACTGAGGACCTTTAACTTACCCAAAGAAAATGAATGCATTTTGGAAGAAAACCGCAATACCAGGATACACAACAGGCTTTTCTGCAAAAGATAAAAGATTTACAGGTTACAAAATGAGGTTGCATTTATAATTTGACACAGTACCACATTCAGTAAATGATGAGCTGTACAACATCTTACTTGCATCAAACAGCACATTCTGAAGTGCTAAATACTTCAACATGCCACACAATGCCACACCCCGACAGTGTCAGGGCCCGTCCACACGAGTAAGTTTTTGTCGAATCCGGATAAATACTTTATCGTATCGGCCTCGCGTCCAGACGGATCCGGCGTTTTCGAGGTGTGAAAACGGGTGCCTGAGTGGGAAAATCCTAAAACGCCGGATTGCCCGGAGTCATCTGGATGGCGAATAGCCCTGCATCTCTAACCTTTGACCTCAGCCGCCACCACTAGACGCGTTATAACAACAACAACAACGGCGGACTACAGGCTTGTGCACAGCGCGTAACCTTTATACGCATGCTCCATGGCTTCTTTTTCGGTTTTAGTGTATTGGTGT